ACAAATCAAATTAAAAGATCAACAAGATCAATTCGACGTAAATATGCTAACCTGCAACAAGATCTGGTAAACGAACAGTGGAATCGTGATATATATAAGCAGGAGCGAGATCAGGCATTGCAGCAATTAGAAAATGAACGGGCATTTAATGAATATTGGCAAGACCGAATATGTGATAGATATATAAAATGGAAGAATAAAACTAAGGATGAGCGTATACAAATACAAAACTGTCAAAATGAAAGAGCTCTTGATGAATTTTGGCGAGATCGACTATATGATCGGTATAAAAAATGGAAAAATAAGACTAAAGATGAACGCCAAATAATTCTAAATCAAAATCAGAATATTTTAAATTTACAGCAACAAAATTTTGCATTAGTAAATAATCAGCAAAATCAACTGATGGTATTACCTGTAGGATTTGCACAACCAGAATTCCATGGTGTGAAGAAGATCATAAAGATTTCATAGATAGGTTTATATCATATATTACCTTGGCTAAAGTAAATAATAATGTAAATATTCTCACTATATTAGATCGATCCTTAAAAGGAAAAGCGAGAGAATGGTATTATAGAGAATTTGACAATAAAAATTGGGAGTTAGAAAATGTACTTGATAACTCTGGTATAGGTGCAACAATAGCACATATTCGTGGTGCTAATGCAGGAGGTATAATGGGTGCAGTCGCTTCTTTCCCAAATGTTTCACTTGGACTTACAGATGCACAAATTATTTTTGCTCGAAATGTTGCTGAAGATTGAACAATAGCAGGAGGACGCCCAACTAATACAGTACCAGTTGCACCAAATGCTGAAGGAGGTGTTCTTATTATTCTAGCAGGAATATGATCTGGACAAAGGCTTTGGTGGATAAAAAAACATTATCCAACTGCTAATAAATATGTAAAGATGTTAGAAATTGAAGCATTAAGACAAGGCGTATATGAGAGTGTATCTTTATTCTGGGCAAAAATTCAGAAATATGGTGATCAACCCGGTTATACTCCAGCACAGAAGAAAACTCATTTTTTATCTGGAGTTAGACCTGATATTAGAGATGAAATTTATAGAATTGGTCAAACAAAACCCATTAACGATATTATTGATAGTTTGGCAGAACTTGAATTACGTCATGGAATATTACAACAGGCACTACTTCAACTTCGCCATGCACCTATTGCTTTTGCTATTCCAGATGTTATACCTCAACAACCAGCATTCTCCATGGCTGATATGCAAAAAATGATTCAAGATGCATTTGCAAAACAGCGAGCTGAATCTAAAGCTGAGATAGAAAAATTAAAGGCTGAACTTCAAGCACAACAACCACAAGTTGCAACAGTAGGAAATTTTCAACCTCTACCCAAGTTTTACCCTATAAAATCAGAAAAAACTCGGCAAACATTTTACATAGTAGATCAAGAAGGTAATAATATGAATTCACTTACCCAAGATCCAGATTACTTTAAATATCTCGAGCAAGCAAAAGCCTTATATAAAAAACCACAAAGATCTAACCAATCTGTCAGAATAGATAGAATAGAAGAAGAGCTTAATGAAACTCGAGATACTATAAATCAGTTAGCAGACCAATTACAGAAAAAAGTGTATATAAAAAAATGTGGAATTTGTAGAGAAATAGGCCATAGCAAGGGCAAATGCCCCAATCAACCTACGGTCCAATCTAATTATACTCGATTATATTTTACATCTCTCAAGCCAATATATCCCCAATACACACCTCCTAATTCAGATGATAGTGAGGAGGATGAAGGTGGTTATAATGAGGAAGATAATTAATAGCATGCCCCTCCATCCTATTTAGAAAAAAAAAACGGATATCACCAACAATAAGTAAGATATCACAGAATAAATCAGTAATTTCATGCAAATCTTTAGTTACAGAATCTAAACAAAATGAAAAAGTCACTATGCCAACCTTTTTCCAGAATCGGATAACCAGTTATTAGAATTATTATTTCCAGCAATGCGAAAAAAAATTATTGACTCATCTACAAAAAATAAATAGGCTGAATCACTTGAATATATGCAGTGTAGAATTGAAGATATAATTATTCCAGATGGGTTTGCCGATACAGTATCGGGATGTCTTGTTATGAATAAAGCACTAAATGAGGCATTAGGATGGAATCTTGGAATGGCACCAAATTTTCCCTTAGACATAATTCTAATCATATAACGAAATTAGAAGGAGGACATAAGGATGTACCAATATCTATAAAATATAAAAATAAATGGGTTACTGAAACAGGACATGTTGTTGTTATTGATGATGGAAAACTCGATTACCTTCTTTGTTTAGAAATGCCATGGATTCGAAAAGTTCAAGAAATTCTAGATACAAACAAACATGAATTTCGAATGATAGTTGTTGAAAAACTTATATTATTCTAACCTTTACTAAGCCAATCAAGAATAATGTTTTATCAAGCCTTTATACAACAGTGATTTGGGATAATAATTCAAAAAATCAAACTTTCAATTCTTCTACCAAGATCGATACTAAAGAGGAGCCAGCATCTAATGAGGAAAAAGAGTCCCAAGTCTCTGATTCATTCACTGAAGATCTAAAAAAAAAAACATAATAGATTCTGACAAACAAATCGATTTCTTTCTCAGACTAGAATTCCATTCCAAGATTCAAATCATATCAGGTATGAAAAATCTAGAAAATAAAGCAACTATTAAAAAGGAATTTATTAGAGCTCTTGATTATGCAGAATATCTTGAAAAGGAATTGATACGATTTCAAGATTTAGCTTGAAGCTGTTTTTTATATTCTCATAAATTTTCCATTCTAGCTTGCATATCACTCCCTGGTATTGATGAGATAGAATGATTTATAGTTTTTAATTCTGATTTTCTGCTAGTCTTTTTTGTCACTGGTTTGCTCAAAGAAATTACTTGCTCAGGATTTCTGGCACTTGATAAGCTATATATGGGCAAGATTTCTGGTTGAGGTATTGAGATAGATGAATTCATAGATATTATTTCTATTTCAGGTGGTTGAGGATATATCTGGCCATTTACAATATCATCATATTTTTCACTACCAATTTTATAATTAGCATATATAATGTGTTTTCTATTTGGTATCTGTTTTGCATGAGTATTCCTTATTTTTTCGATTGCTTTAGGAGTTAATAGAGTAGCAGTGGGGTTCGAACTCGAAATCTAACTTTGGTTTTAACCATTTTAGAAAAATATATATTGATATTAAAAAAATATCCGATTTAAATCTAGAAAAATATCTATTCATTTCTAGTATGTAATTGGATAAAAATTGAGTAATAATCGGGCAATAATCAGACACAAATCAGACAAAAAATTAGTACTGACTTGATTATAGATCTATTTTTATATAAAACTGGTTAATTATTATTTTATGCCTAGCTAAGTATTAATTTTTGCCCAGCTAATTACTAACTTCCGCCTAATTATTGCCTAGTTAAATACCAATTATTATTTGGGTTCCTTTTTATTCATAACCAGTAAAAAGTCAAATTGCAATTAGTTTTTTTCTTTGAACATAATTCTCTTCGATTATATGGCACCAATATGTACTTTGTATAGTAAATCTACTGATGCCAAAAATTTTCAAGGATGTGGATATAAATTAGATAGTAGTAGAGAACATGAACTTGAATCTCAATGCAATGAGTTACTTCTTGAAACTGAATTTTTCACTAATAAATGTTCTGAATTTAGAAATGCTAAAGCTCTTGCAAAAGCGCGATCTGATGTGATTACTAAAGAGCTAGAGAAAAAAAATAACAAGATTTTACATCTTCAGAAAAAATTAAATTGGTACATTAATGACAAAAATCAAAATGACTTGATTAAAAAACAACTCAAAGAAGAAATTAAAGAGTTGAAAAGCAAA